CTACTGGCACTTGGAGGTGGAGGCAGGGATGCTATTCAATGTCTAGTGCCTGGAATGGCCAACCCTAAGATTTATCTGGCCCTGAATGTCAGTGATGCTGAGGTGAGGAAACCCTGCTCTGAGGTGGTAGGCACTGTGAGGGGGCATCCAAAGGGTGTCAAGGAGCCCCAGAGTGGGCCCTCAACTCAGTCTTGGGGTAGAAAGTGTCAGGGGAAGCAGTGTCTATGCTGTAGGCAGGAGTCAGCCAGGAGGGTGATGTCCAGGTGAACATGAGTTGGCTGTGGGCAAAGGCTAGAAGTGAAAACCAGCTGTTTCAGGAACTGAGGGCCAGTTGGATGTCTAGAGGGCCCTAGAGGAGTAAGAGGAGGTCCCCACTAAGGTATCTGGGCTCACGGGCGTGCAGTGGGGAGCCACAGGAGGTTTCTGAGCAGGGCAGTGACATGATCAGACTTGGACTTTGAGAAACAGATTGGCGGGAACCAGCCTGGAGGCGGTCTTGGCACTGGTGATGATACAAGTAGATGGAGAGGAATTGGGAGTCTGTCTAGGCGAGGCAATGGAGGGGGTTGAGTGACACCCTCGTCTCGGCTGGTGGCTGGATCCACATGGATGGTGAGAGTAGCCACAGGGAATCAGAAGTCAGTGACTGACTTTGGGCTGAGTCTGTAGGCAGTGACTGAATCACAGTGACTAGAGACCAAGGCTTGGGTTCAATTTCAGGGGACCCTCCAATGCCCCCCCTCCCCACGTTTATAGAGCTGCAGGTCAGCTTCCTGGAGGTGAGGGTGACACACACACACACACACACACACACACACACATACACACACATACACGTTTATAGAGCTGCAGGTCAGCTTCCTGGAGGTGAGGGTGCCAAGAGGGCTGAGCATGTCCCTAGGGCAGCCCCTTGCCAACCTACAATGGTTGGTTTCTTTTCCTGGACCAATTATGGGCCTTTAACATCTGCTCAAGAGTGCAGTGGAGTGGCCTTGGCAGGTCTTTCTCCATTTGATAAAATAGTGATGATAACAGGAGGCCCCAGAGCACTCAGGGAACCTGGTGGAGCACATGGCACAGCCAGAGTATAAACTCCTCCTATATGTGAAGGCCCGGGACTGGACCCATGGGGGTGAGGCAAGTGGAAATCCTGTGCCCCAGGTAGGATTTAACATTAATCATCTGGGCTCCTGGTGAACAGAGTGGGCTTTGAACTTGGCTGCACAAGTGTCTCCATCTGTAAAATAGGCCCATGGAACTGATGGAAGGGCTCAGTAGGTGGAGAGCAAGGTTGGGTGGGTCCTGAACCTGGGCCATACTCCTGACTTCCAAGATGGCCAGCACCAGCTCCCTCTTGGACAGCACCAAGGATCAGGGATGCTCCCTGGCCTTGCCCATCCTGCCCTCACCCTAGACTTGCTCCCACCCCAGCCAAGGCCCATCAAGGGCAGAGGTGGCAAAGGGAACTGGGCAGCACCCAGGACATGGGAGACCCACAGGTTACTGTGAGCTTTCCCTCCCCAAGCACCCCAGGCTGGGCCACCCATCCTCAGCTACACCCCTCCCTACTTGTCACCAGGTGAATGGACACACACTTCTCTGGGGAAATGCCCAGGCCTCTGTTTTCCTCACATGTAACACCTGTCATCCCCTCCAGAATCATGGGCCTGGGTGAGCCCTAAACTGAGGGACACCCCCCCATCCAGAACTTTTAGGAACAGAGGATGCCATACTGGCTTGGAGCACTATAACCGGGGCCACCCCATGCCCCTAGGGTCTTCTCCTTGCTCTAGGGCAGGTTCATGAGTCAGCCTCTGGCTCCTATCTATGCCCATCTCCTACCCTGACTGGGGCACAGATTTCCTTCTAGTACCATAACAGTGGGATGCCCTCAATGGTGGGGTGGCTGGGAACATCTAGAGAGCCCAACCTCCCAGAACTCTAGCTCAATGAAGCAGCAAATAGTTAGGTCATTCGGCAGCCGATCCAGTGTGGAATAGGGTGTCAGGGAAGGTTTCTGCAGAGTACCTCTGGAAGATGAAGTTGGAAGGGTAGGACCCTTGTGGGCTGGGAAAAATCTCTTCTATGTGGCAATGACCTCCAGGCCTGTGCTCCCAAGGAATACCAGATCGTAGGAAACAGGGAGAACGAGTGAGAATGGAGACAAGGCAAGATTAGGTGTGTAGATGGCACAGGAGAGATGAATTCTTCCCATTCCACCAACCCGTCTCCCAGACTGCCCCATCCTGAGCTCAGCCCTCTAAGAACCTAGACTCTCCCCCTAGCCCAGACTGGCCTTCAGCACTTTCCCAACCCTTTCCAGGGATCCTGAGCACTGGGGCCAACTGTCTGCTCCCATTTTCCATACAGGGTGAGAGACCCAGTGGTCAGGGACCAGACGGAAAAGGTGTGTACTAAGATCAGGCCCTGAGGAGTTCCCAGGAGCCAAAAGCCCAGTGCCATACACTCTGAGAGCCAGCTGGGCCACCCATGCCCCTGGGGCAAGCACATGGATCGGGGAACACTTCCGAAGTCCTTTATTGGGCCAGCAAGGCCAGGAGCTGCCCTTGGATTGGGGTCCCACTCTGGAGGCTTGAGGTCCAGGGCACTCATGCCCCTGTTCCCGACCAGGGAAGGCAGCCTCCTCTGACAGGCTACTTGATTCGCTCCTTCAGGTATTCCCAGCCCTCCTTGGTGTATTCACAGGCCTTGGAAGGGGCCACCGACAAGGCTGACATCACCGTAATGATGCCTGTGGGGAGGGAAGAAGGGCCCAGTGTCTGGTGAGGCTCCCCACCTACAGCCAAGGGGTTTATTTAGTCCAACCCCCTGGGACACCCAGCTTGGCCATGCTTTTAGAGGTGCCACTTCCAGCTCAGTCAATTCCACACAGGGAAACTGAGGCAGAGGAGGAGCAGGGCCTCACCTTCTCTGAGGCAACCTGACTCTGATGTGCTCTGATGTGGCTCAAGCTCCCAAAAAGAGGCTCCATCTTGCTCCCACTTCCCTGGAACCTCCATCCCTTCTCTCTTAGATGTGGGAGAGGCACACACAGCAGTAAGAGGAGTGATGGAAAGGCATGACCAGGAAGCAGAATTGGTGGTGCTGGACTGGGGCAGCTCCTCCCCTCTCCCTGAAGCAGAGGGGCCAGGGCCTACCTGAATTCCAGGACTCACGGATGTGAAAGTTAAACTTTGGAGGCGCTGGGAGCTGGGAAGAGACAGGGGAGAAGGGGCTGGTGAAAGGGGAAGGGCCTAGCAACCCCAATCCCCTCCAGAGGCAGAGAGAGCAGCCCACACCCCAGTGTGAAGGACACCATGCAGGGCTGGAGGGACCAGCGACTAAGGCCATCCCATCAAGCCTCAGCCTCACTCCCAGCACGAGGTACCTGGGGCATCTTCAGGCCCATCTGCTCACACACGTACTGGCTGAACTGGTACATGGCAGGGGGGACCACCTCCTCCGCCTTCCGAAGGACCGCCTGGCTCTTGTCGCTGGGCCCCAGCAGCTCCTGGTCGTACACCAAGTAGACCACTCCCCCAGCCACACTCCCCTTGATGAGAAACCTGCATGCAGGGAAGGGTACACAGCAGCTCAGGGAACACTACTGGCCACCCTGGGGTAGGAGGGGGCAGGTAGGTCCATGGGAGAAGGAGTTAGACCCCTTAGGGAGCCCCACAATCCAAAGAGAGACTTGAAGCCAGGTAGCTAAGAAGGAAATGACAAGGCACCTTGCTAGCCCAGAGGCATGCCTGACCCCAACTAGGCACAACACTCCATTTACAGTACGTAAAGCTGGAGTACTCTGCCTCATTCATTCAACTGGTAAACTGAGGCCCGCAGAGGGACAGTGGGTCACTAATGATTCCGCAGAAAGCAGGGAATAGTGAAGAAAGTCCCCTGACTTTCTGCCTTCTGGCCCGAGGAGGGACCATCCGCGAGCAAACCGCGAGGGTTTTCCAAGTGTCTGGTCGCTTCCTGTATGTCCTTCGCCGCTCTGGACGCGCATTCACCTACCAGTAAAAGGCGTGCGGCATTCCCACTTTACAGAGAAGGCAACTGAGGCTCGGAGAGCTCTCGTATTCCAGGAATCGGAAGGCAAGGGCTCGCGCGACCTCGGGAATCACCTCTCCGCTTGAAACTCAGTTTCCCCATGTGGGCCATGGGGCACCTGACACTACAGGAAACGAAGAGCAGGTCGCGAGCAAACCAGAAGGGGGTGTCCGCAGGAGGGAGGGGACTCTCTCGGGGACTCGGGACCCGCCCGGCAGCCACACGCACCTCATCATCGACCACACTCGGGACACCATAGTCGCTCGACTCCCGAGAGCAAGGACACTCGGCTCGCCCGCCGCTTCCCGTCGCGGCGCCGCAGAGGCTTCTGGGAGGAGGAGTTTCCCTTGTTAGCCGAAAAGGCCTCCGGGAGTCGGAGTCTCGTTACCGCTCAGAAATACCGGAGGTTGCGGTCCCACCGCGAAAGGGACGCGTAATTAATCCTATGGGCTGGGTCGCCGCAAAGCGGTGTGGGAATTGTAGTCGGCACTGTCCCGTGAAGCGCCGGACAGCTCGCCTTGTCGCCAAGGCTCTTGGGTAATGTAGTCCGGTCTCAGCGGAGTGACTGGAAAGAGGGATAGGGTGTCTGGAGTGAGGCCTGACGGTGACCCAAGAAGATGTCGAAGCCAGGGAGATCCACCCACGCCCGCGCGGGGGACTCAGGGAACGGGCCTAAGAAGAGTGTGCATAGAAGCCAGTCGTCACGGCAACGCGAGGCGGAATTGTTCGAGAGAGGTTGGTCTAGGTCACGTGAGCGGTTTCGAAGGCTGGAGGGTGTTTTCCTTCAGAAGTCGCAGCCAGGGGTTCGGCGGGGAGCGGAAGAGCCAGCAGGGAGGCCGTTGCCCGGCAACGCTCGGACGCAGAGTCCTCGCGGCCCGGCCCCTCCTCGTCCAGAGGCCGGCTCTTGGTCACGTGACTCGTGCCCTAAGGGAGGGGGCGCCGTCCGGGGCCGGACTGGCGTGCGCGTGGTCCCGGGCGGGGACCCCCCGCCCCAGTGGATGGTGGATGACACTGAGGCTTGAGTGGGTAAGTGAGCGGTTGGTTGCGCGGAGCGGGTCGCACGCCCTTTTTGTCCAGCGGGAAAACCGAGGCCCGGCGGTGTCAGAGGGCAGGTGTATTGTGCGAGGATCGCCGATTCCTTCCCCATCTCAGCCCGGCCCCTTCAGCCATCCACCCATCTATCCACCCATCTACCCATCCTTCCATCCTCTGCATCCTTCCATCCTTCCTCCCACCCACTCACCCATCTATCCATCCATCCAACTCCGCCACTCCTTGTGGAGCTGCTGTGATCAAGGACGGGGGTGGGAAGAGGGTTGAGCTGAGGGGCTTCATGCGCTTTCCCTGAAAGTGAAGGAGGTGGGAGCGCGTTCCCTGCTGAGAGAATTGCTGGTGTGACTGGGGAAGGGCAAAAAGCTTTTTCTGAGAACTGACTCATGGACAGGAGTTGGGGAAGATGGGAAGGGACAGGTGGGCAGAGGCCTTGTGGGCTGTGAGGAGCCTGGTCTCCATCTTGGGCAGTGGAGAGCCCTTGGGAGGGTTTGCAGCAGGAAGAGGGACGCCAGATTTCTTTTGACAAAGATCCCTTTGTCTGCATGGATAGAACAGGGTGAGGGGAAGAGAGTGTGAAGATGGAGTAGTCCGGAAGGAGGCAGCTGGAACTTTGTTGTGGCGGCAAAGGACCAAGGGCTGGATCTAGAGATTGTGGTATTGGAACGCTCCAGTCACACCACCTCAGCCTCCTGGGTCCTAGAAGTCCCCCTTTCCTATTTGTCCCACTGAGTCCAGGGGATAGAAACCCCATGATGTGATGGGCCTGTGCCCATTTCAGGGGAGACCTTTGAATCCCCAAACTTTAAGCACCCGACCTGTTTCTCTCTTTAGCCTTCTCCCTGGAACAAGTAAATTGCTCCCACAGCTGAAGTCATATCTTAATTCTCATGATATGGACACCTTCCAATTTCTCCTAGGTATCTCCAGAGTGGTCTTTCTAGGCTCCCCCATCTCTTGCCTCCCACATACCTGTGTCAATCTAGTATCTATTGAGCACCTGCTGCGTCCCTGATACCGTTTGGGGCACTAAAGACCTAACAGTGAAAAAAAACAGAAGTAGGTTTCTGGTTCTTTTCTCCCCTCATGGGGCTGACAGTCTAGGGGAAGTGAGGGACAGTGAACATGAAACACACCATCAAAGTAATTTTAGGTGATGTTAAGTGGTGAGAAGGAGGTAAAAGTTCTAGAGGTATGGGAGAGGAAGGGACCAGGAAGGGAGATGCTTTAGAAAAAGAGGCCAAGGAAGTGCTCCAGAAGGGAGAAATTTTTGTGCTGATACTTGAAAGAAGTAAGAGCAAGCCATTGGATTATATGTGCAAAGATCGTTTTGGGCAGAGGGAACAGGCAGTGCAAAGGCCCTGAGGTAGATAGTGACTGGTTGGTTCTCAGGAACAGTAAAGAGGCTGGCATGGCAAAAAGCAGAGTGAGCAAGAGAGGCTGCTCCATGGAGGGCTTTTTTGGCCATCAGGGAGTGTGGCTTTCGTCCTAAATGAATCAGGGAGAATTTTCAACATTAGGAGGCAAGATCTGATTGTGCTGTTGCATGGAGGAAGAAAGCCCAGAAGATTGGTATAGTGGTTCAGGTGACCTGGACCAGATGGTAGCTGTTGCGACAGAGAAGAGGAGCAGGTCTAGGGGCCAGGAGGATCTTCTTTGAACAAAGGTGCAGTAGGGGAAACAGGTGTAGCTGTGGGCCAGGACTGTGCTGGCCATCGTCTCTCTCACAGCAGACCCAGGGAGGGCCATGAAGGTGCTGCTCTTCACTGGGCTGGGAGCCCTATTCTTCACCTATTATTGGGCTGACAACTTCGACCCAGGTGAGTGCCTGGGGTGGGACAGGGAGGAATCTGGCCAGCTGTTCTATGCAGTCCCTAGGCTGACCACCCCTGCTCACTGCCAGCTAGCCTCCATGGAGCCTGTGTGCGGCTGACAAGGGCCAGTGCAGGCGTTGGGAAAGAGCTGGCATATCACTATGCCCGTCTGGGCTCTCACTTGGTGCTCACTGCCTACACTGAGGCTCTCCTGCAGAAGTTGAGACACTCATTTCAAGTTTAATGGTGGGGACAAGAGTGGGGTGGAAAAATGGGACCTGGGTTTGAATCCCTGCAAAGAAGATCCCAGGCTTCCCATGGACCTCACTAAACCTTAATTTCCTCATTTACAAAATGGAAACAATAAAAGTACCTTCTTGTGGGCTATGGTATTGGGTGGATGCAGTAAGACAGTGAGTGTAAAGTAGTAAGTGTTCCTCAATAAATGGCAGTATTGGTAGTGTCCAAAGCCTGTGACGACGGCCAGGGTTCTCAAACTGAAAAGGGTGGTGGGTGGATTTAGCAACAGAATGTTCCAAGGAAATGCACAGCTCTTGGAGACAAACCTTCCAGAATTTCAAGAGGGGCCAGAAACCTTGAGATTTATTTGGTATCTCCTAAGTTTTAAAATTTGATGATTGAGCAAAGGAAATAACTGCCAGTTTACAACCCCAGTGGTAAAGCTTTGGGGACTGAACAGGAGGCCCAGAGTAGGGGAGGGGGCTTCAGGCTGGGGCCCCAGTGCGCCTGGCAGGTGGAGGGAGTCATCTGGGGTGGAGGGGCCCACGGGCAGCTCTGGCCCCCCAGGTGTTAGGGAACTGCCAGAGCTGGGTGCTCCCAAGGTCTTCTACATCGCTGCGGACATGGCCTCCCATGAAGTGCCTGAGCACAGGGTGCAGTTTGCGCTGGACAAGCTGGGTGAGGGGTGGGGCCTGAAGTCTGGGACCTTGGTCTAAACTTTAGGGGCAGGACTGGAATTGGCGTGGGGGGTATGGTAGTAATAGTGTCTGTGGGAGGAAATTTATAAGGTTCTGGGGCGTAACGAGGGGTGGAGCCTTGTTGCATCCAGGGGGCCCCATTGGATTAGAGACGAAGCCTAGCAGGATCTAGGGAGTAGGGCAGGGTCTCCTTAATCTGGGGGGAGAAGGGCACTACCTTGGGTCAGTGCTCTAGGCGGAGTCTGCAAGTTTCAGAGGTGAGGCTCAGGAGGGGCACAGCGGGTGGAGCCTTAAGGACTAGCTCCTAGCTGATGGTTCTATCCTGGACAGGCGGGCTGGACTACCTCGTGCTGAACCACCTTGGTGCTGCCCCAGCAGGCACATGGACCCGCAGTGTCCACAGGACTAGCTGGCTCATGCAGGTGCTCCGCCACTCCTCGGCCCTGCCTCCCAGCCTCCAGGGTGGGTGCTCCATCCCTATCCCCACGTTTTGCCCCCTTTCGATTTTGGCTCCTCACACTGCTAGCACCCCAGCTCTCCCTTCCCAGACTCTCCCCTCTCCCCTCTCCCCCATTCCTCTTTGGGTCCCTGCCCCTGTCTACCCCCCCACCCCAGTCTCTACCCTTTCTAAACCTTGGCTCCGCCCCTGGGCTTGAACCCCAACTCCTCCATCCAGGACTCCTCCCTGATCCTAGTTCCTGCCCATCCCTAACTAGCCCCGCCCCCAGCTTTGTAAGTCCCGCCCCTACCCCTACCTTCTGGGCTTGGGTTCTTCCTCTGTTGCTTGACTCCAGTCACCACCTCCAGGTGAACTTCCTGAGTTACATGCAACTGATTCCTTGGCTCTGCCCAGTCTGATGGACAGCAAGGGCTCTCTGGTGGTGGTATCCTCACTGCCCAGTGTGTGTACGCAGGGTGGGGAGTGGGGAGGCCCCAGGTCTGATGCAGGAGAGCCTGGATGGGGCAGGAAGATTACCTCGAGGAGGGGGAGCGCGTGGCAGCTCAGCCACCACCTTCTGCACCCGCAGGCCGCGTGCCCACGTCCTTCTCCAACCCTTACTCGGCAGCCAAATTCACACTGGATAGTTTCTTTGGCTCCCTGCAGCGGGAGCTGGATGTGCAGAATGTGAATGTGGCCATCACCATGTGCATCCTGGGCCTCAGAGATCACGCCTCAGCTGCTGAGGGAGTCAGGTAAGGCCAGGGGCGCGAGCCGGAGCTTGTAGGGGGCCACCTAGCCCCAGCCACAGTCCCCACCATGCTACCCCCTGTCCCTAGGGATGTCACAAGGGTCAAGGCAACCCTGGGGCCCAAGGCAGCCCTGGTTGTGATTTGTGGCGGTGCCACGCGTGTCTTCCATGTCTTCTGCCCGTGGCGCTTCCACATGCTCTGCCTTCTTCAGACCTGGTTGCCTCACTCAAAGGCCTGGTTCATTCACCAGGAGCTCAGTGTCACTGCCACTGCTGCTGCCTGAGCTCCTGGGGTGGAGCCCCTTCATCTTCTGGAGGGGAACCCTTCTTCTTGCCTTCCCGAAGGCAGGACACAAACAGAGGCATCTCTAAGAGGGTGGCCACAACCCAAGATAGTGTCATCAACACAGGAAAAGAAAACTGAGACAAACTACTAGCACCTGGAAACAATGAAATCTCTGGGTGTGAGAGCAGCTTCTGTGTGCCAGTCAGTACCTTGTCAGGGATGCAGAAGGCATTACCTCGGTTTTCTCCGTCATCATTGTTGTGATTGCTGCTTCCATTTTACAGACAGGAAAACTAAGGCCCAGAGAGGTGATGTGGCAAGTCAGCCCTAGGGCCCTGGCCACGTCAAACAGGTCACACTGACCGCTGACGCACCCTAGGAACCTTCTCTGTCTCCCACCTGGAACAACCTGATTTTTTCTTTCCACTCAGTCTCAGAGCATCGCTCAACCCTTGCCCTAAGCAAGGGAGAGCCACAAAGTTATCCCACCTATCCCAGTGATAGGATCCCAGGAGGGGGAGGAGGGAAAGAACATGTTCTGCACTGTACCCAGCCTTCCTTTTCTTAATAAAAATCCTTTGCACATCTGTTCAAATTTCTTGGTCCTTGCAATTTGCTGGCAAGAGGCAGGGAAGAGGGGATGTGTGTACCAGAGCTCTCAACAGGCTGGCGGAGAGGTGGAGTCACCCAGGAAGTCTGGGGCAGAAGGAAGAGTGCTGATTGTAGACCAAAGGCATTATTTGCCACACAAAGTACGTGGTTTGTGCACCAGTAGTGATAACGTGTATCAGGCACTACACACTTAACATTAGGATTGAAAGATAAAAAACAGAAAAAATTATTTTGTATTGTTTTCATCGTGCCTCTCCCATCTCTGTACCACCTAAAATTAAATCAAACTACATCAAATGCCACCAGCAGGCACTATACCACATCGCTTTACTCAGCTCTAACTCAGAGCTTGGCCTCATATGAAATAACCTCTGTTTATGGAAGTTTTATTTTGTGTCAGGTACCATAATACCGTGTTCAAACAGTTTGGAATATGTCCTATTCTTGCCATCATTCTACAAAAATGGAGAAAGTCAGGTATTGGGAAGTGAAGTCCCTGGCGCCAGCTAGCGGCTGAGGTGGGATTCGAACTTCTTACCCCCGGGAATAGGGAGGCACCACAGCCACAGGCAGCTCACCAATTCCGACCGTTTGCTAGGGCCCGTTGGGGTAAACACGCATGCTCAGGGAGACCGCAGGGAACCCTCCAGCCACCAGGGGGAGCTTGCAGCGTCCTTGCCTCTCTGGCCCGCGCAACCCGCGAGGAATAGATATCCCAGAGTTCCGCGCCGTGCCAGCCCTTCCGCAGCCGCAGCCATTGAGGAACAACAGGTTAGTTGGTTCCTACAGTGGGGGTATCCGCTGCCATCCGTACCCCTGGGCCTCCGGTGCACTTAGGGGAATGGCTGGGTGCAGTGAGTAACTACTGGGGGTCCGGGACGCGAGGCAGGACTCACCTCTCCCCAACCCTGTCCACAGCCATGGCTCTGCGCTACCCGATGGCCGTGGGCCTCAACAAGGGCCACAAGGTGACGAAGAACGTGAGCAAGCCAAGGCACAGCCGCCGCCGCGGGGTGAGTTCCGGAGGCGCGCGCTCGGGTTGCTTCTGGTAGGGAGATGGGAAGGGTCTTCCGGGTGGAGGGCACGGCCAGGGCACAGGCTCCAGGCTACCGAGGGCAGTGGGAAGCCCTGAGGTGGGCTGAGCGGAAGAAAGGGGGCGTCGGGTTGGCCAGACCGGTAAGTGAAATGTCCTGATACGGCTGCGCGGCTAACGCTCGCCTGGGCCGTACACCAGGACCCTCCGCCGGTGGGATGGAATCGGGCAGGTGGAGCGAGTTTGGGAGCTTGTTGTGACAACAAGCAGGAGTTTGCTCAGTAGAACCGGAGTTAGGTGGAGGTGGGAATGTAGAAGGGAACGCTGATTCTTTTGAGTTGAGGAATTTCAGGCTGATCAGTATTTATGGGTTCCTTCTGCCAGGTTTCGTCCAAACCTGTGGAGAATTTTCATGAGCTTATTTGAGCTAAACTGACAATTGCCCGGAAGCAAGATCTAACATTTTCCCGTAGACTAACAGTTTTGCAGTTTCTTTTATGCATTTGAAGTTAAGGAGGGAATTTAAGGAAGAAAGCAAGGTGGGGACTGGATTACAGGATAGTTAAGATAACGTCACACCTTCAAGGGGTATTAGGCATTTGAAAGATGTGTTAACCTAGATACACAAGCACAGTGGACAGGGTTTGCTTAAAAACCTTTCACCAAAGAAGTTACAGGCCTAGAGTGTGACTACCCATAATGAGTTGCCCAATAAGTAAGTTGATTTGTTACGTTGTCCCTTTTTTGTCCACACTTTATTAAGGTAGCCTCGACTCTGAAGTGGCAGCCTTTGTCCAATGGGAAAGGATTCCTGGCCCAGGAACAGCCTGTACAAAGGGCCAGGCATGACATGCCATTTTGATGACATTGGGGGAATGGGGAGGACTCCCCCTTCCATTGTACCAGTCAGAATGCTTCAGCTGGCCTTGGCTGGTGTGGTTCAGTGGTTAGAGCGTTGGCCTGCACACCAAAAGGGGTCGAGGGTTTGATTCTCAGTCAAGGGTACATTGTACTTTGGCTGCAGGTTCGATCCCACCCTGGTCAGAGTGTGCATGGGAGGCAACTAAATGATGTCATGTCCCCCTCCACCACCCCCCACTCACTAAAAATCAATGGGAAAAATATCCTCAGGTGAGGATTAACAAAATAATACTCCAGCCGAAGGCCCAGGTGTGACCCTACATGCTCTGGCCTTGAGGTGCTGTATTCTGATGGCATCTCTCCCCCCCACCCCCCACCAGCGCCTCACGAAGCACACCAAGTTCGTGCGGGACATGATCCGAGAGGTGTGTGGCTTTGCCCCCTATGAGCGGCGTGCCATGGAGCTGCTCAAGGTCTCTAAGGACAAGCGGGCCCTGAAATTCATCAAGAAAAGGGTAGGTGGGCAGTTGGTAGTGGGTGGGATTGGGCAGAAGCATTTGGCCTTTTGCCAGGCAGGTAAAAACCTTTGTTCCAAGGACGACAGGATGGTGGTAGGGGCAAGGGTGGAATTGGGGCCCAGGCTGATGGCCCCCATTGCTTGGCAGGTGGGGACACACATCCGTGCCAAGAGGAAGAGAGAGGAGCTGAGCAATGTCCTTGCAGCCATGAGGAAGGCAGCAGCCAAGAAGGACTAAACCCCATCACATGTAATAAAATCTGTTCAGAAACCTGGGGCTCCTGTGGTGGCATTGCATGTGGTCTGTTATCTGCTTGAAATCTCCTGTGACGTAAAGCATGGTGGTAGGCATAGAAAGAAGCAACAGATGTGTGTTACTGGAAATGGTCTTTAATCATAATTAAATAGTTCATATGCGTCTGATTCCATGATTAAGCCATAATTGAGGTCCTTGGGTTCCAGGCCACTTGCTGAGTCTCCTGGTGGCTCAACTGCCCCGAGCCCCTCCCCTCAGTGCAGTTTCAGCTCATGGTGGGTCTATCAGCACCAGCACTGCCTAGGCCACCATCACCGCTCCACAGCTAGGGCCTCTGCCTGCTCCTTGGGGAAGGCGATATCAAAGATCTCACAGTAGTGCTCCACAAAATGGACCTCCAGGCCTTCTGTGATGAAAGCAGCTAGGTCATAGAAGTCCTTCTTGTTTTCTGCTGGCAGGATGATGCATGTCACTCCAGCACGCTTGGCCTGGGATGCAGGGGACCATAGGTTAGTAAAGGAAGGCTGCAGGAGCCCAGTGTGCTCTAGGAGGGAGAGGGCCTGTTCCCAGTGGTCCTGAGCCAGGCACTGAGGCCCAAGGCCAAAGCACTGGATTCTACTAAAGCCTGGAGCTCTTGGAGTATAGCCCCCTCAGAGCCCACCCCATGCTTGGCTCTGCCCCACCCTGTGTCTAAATCAATCACAGCACTACTGCATTACCTTTAGAGTTGGGCCTCTGAAAATGTAGCTAACACTTTAAAATTCTAGAGTCTTACTGATCATCCTACCCAATCTGTCCTATATTCAGAGGCAGTGGAAGCTCAGGAGACAGTGCAGCTCTGGCAGGAGCTAGATGTGGGGGATGAAGGGCAGGTATCCTATACATTTGCCATAGCCCTCTAACCTACACAGCAGCCTGTGAGGCCAGAGAGGCTTTTCTGTACCCATGGTTCTCAGTGCCAGGCCAAGGGGGCAATGAAGCTGAAGGCCCCACTCCTACTGTCTAGGAGCCCACAAAGCCCCACTGAGGCGCTCAGATGGGCGCTCTTTCTATAGAGAAGCCTAGAACATTACCCCAACCACTGTGGAGGGAGGCATCTGGGACAGTCAGTTTGACACAGGCTCAGACCACCTAGCTCTGGGTCCAAATCCCATGCCCACTCTAAAATGGGCCATTGCTGTGGTCTGATGTGAAGGGTGACATCTGTCAGATGACTGTGGCAGTCTGGGGCTCTATACAGCAGGGAGCCCTGGTGGGGAGGTGCATAGTACTCACCGCAATGGTCTTCTCTTTGATGCCGCCCACTGGCAGGATCTTGCCTGTGAGGGAGACCTCACCTGTCATGGCCAGATTCTGCCGCACTGGCCTGTCCATAGCCAGTGACAGCAGGGCTGTGACGATGGTGCAGCCAGCACTCGGACCATCCTTGGGGGTGGCGCCCTGGTGGAGAGAGGCAGGTGGTGGGCAGGCCCCATGCAAGGCTGAGGACTGGGGGAGGTGGGGGTGCTGCAGCTCACCTCTGGCACATGCAGGTGGATGTGTGAAGTCACCAGGTACTCATTGGTGGGGTCATGCCTCATGAGGAAGGCCCTGGCAAAGGTGTAGGCGATGCGGGCACTCTCCTTCATCACCTCCCCCAGCTGGCCTGTCACCTCCAGGCTCCCATCCTTCTCTGCCTTGCTGTTCGGTGGGCGCCTTGGGGATGTCTCAACAAACAGTGTGGAGCCTCCTGGAAGACACCAGTATGTAGGGCCTATGAGCTCTGGGGGGCAGTTCAGATTCCTGGGATAGTCACGCCCCTCAATGCAGGGCCACCTCAGAGTCCCCCTGTGACCCCTATCTGCAACACTTCCTTGCCCAACTCTCCTC